TTTCGTGGTGCAGAATAACGCCTTTTCTGTTGACAATCGCTGGCCACTTTTCAATTAAAGATTGATTTACACGATCCAATTGTGCACAATAAAGGTGGAGTGCATTCACAGTTTGTCCAGGTTTCAGCACTTCAAAAATATGCCACCGAACTCACAAAAGGACCTTTTTGGAGTGTAAACCTGGCTAAGTAGGACTTCCAGGAGATTTTTTTTTCGGAGAGAGCCACTGCCTTTTGCGTTTTGGATTATCATGAACGACCTATTTTTAAATCACCTGTGATCACTAGGGGATCCAGGATTTAATTTTTTGGGGGGGACTTCAGCCTGAAAGATTTTTTTTTCATATACATATAACGATAATTAATTTGAAAAAAAATAAAGAAATTAATTACCTGTATGAAATGGTGTTTTAAGTGGTTCTTGGAGTTCTATTAAATATAATTACACGAACAAGAATATCTTAAGAGATAGTTTTTAATATTTTTTTCTGTAAAACGTGATTACATTTTACCATTTTGGGGGGAGAGGGGGCTTCAGCTGGAAAGCCTGCCCCACTTAGATCCGCCTGTGCCTGTGATCAAGTGATCAAAGATCACTTATGTATTGTGCCATTGACATTGGGGAGAGGGAGGAATATAGACACCCCTGCTTACATACTCAGCATGTCCATGACCCTTGGATATATGAAAAAAACATATCAGTAAGCTTTTTTTTAAAATAACAGCCAATAAAAAGAGATAAGATATAAGTCATTAAACTTTTATAAAAACTTATCATTATTCATTGTTCAACTGCCCTTGCATGTCCTAGCTTCTAATTTTTTTAACATAGAGCTTTTTTGACCAATGTTAGTTGGGGAGGGGGATGAGAAGGGCTTTTTAACTTTGGCATTAATTCCCCAACTTCATCCCTGGCCTGGGAAAAAAAACCATACAGTCCAAAAGGCGAGAAAGAGGTGAATAAAAAAAAAAAATATATATGACTTTTTTTCACAAATTAAAATTTAAAATAACATTTATTTAATACCAGAGAGTCCTATGATACATGAACTAATTACAGATAAATTAAATCCCAATGTATACATGACCATCTTTGAAGCTTTCACCAGTTAAAAAAATTAGAAAGTGTTGACATATCTACTCTATTGGAGTACAATGAAATGACAGCTTCATGTGATTTAAAAAATATGATTAGTTTCTTAAATATTCAATAATACCATGATAAGAGGAAAACAATTTTGCCTTAGTTGGTGTTGCTGCTAATCGATGTCTTATGGGCTTTTTTACGATTTCCTGGAGGAAGAATAAATTTTTCAACAATCATCTTATTTGCTTATGGACCTCCTTCATTTTTTGTCATCTTCTGGGGTATGATAGTAGGATACTTTTTTGGAGCAGAGCCTTCAGCAGTATTGGTAATATTTTTTAAAATTATATTTATAACTTTAAAAAAAAAAATCTGAAGTTGAATATAAGATGACTTTATTATATTTTCTTTTGAAAAACAGAAGATAATCAAAAACCAATCTTAAAGATATATTGATGAGATATGCAGATGAAAAGTATAATTTTTTATTGACACCTATTTAATATACTTTTGTCAAAAATGAAGTTTTTTCTCCATAATTCTAGGATAACTTCTTACCTGAAGTTTCTACCCAAATCATTCTTCAAGATTAAAATAATTGCTGAAAATATTTAAAATCAAATTTGGGATATTATCCATGTTTTATAAGACATTCATGTTTGTACTATTTTTGTCATATAAGAGAACAAAAATTGCATCTCTTTAATGTTCACATAATTATGAATATTGTCACAGAAATCAATTTTTGTTTCTTTTTCTCAAAAGTAATAAACTAGATCAAATAAAAAAATTGAGATAATTTTAAAAAAAAGTACTTAATTGAAAAAATGATGCATGTTAAAAAAAATTTAAAAGCTGCAAATAGATTCAATTTACAAGGAGAATAGACGACATTTTGAAAAAGTCTGGATTATTAATGAAAACATTTCAGTAAAGAAAATAAAAATGGAGAGTTGAGGAACAGATATTTCGTTTACAGAGAATTCCTTTTATATAAAGAAACTTTATTTAACATAATTACAACCAGAAATTTCTGAACTAATATATCATCCTCTTAGTGTTACACTAATTTATAATTGATACAAATAAATTGGCCAACTTATCATTATTATGTTACACTTATAAAGTGACATCATAAAACTTAATCTCTTTGAACTTAAAAAATATTTTCCATTCAGTAAAGTAATCAATTGGATTAAAACAAACACATGTAGAAGGTTAACATTCAATGAATGAATCCCCAAATCTCTTTCTGCATGTTTTATTAGCCTGTGCTTTCAACAATAATTTACGTCTCCATTGCTGCTGTTTTTAGTAACTCCAGTTCAGATTTTCAATGACATCTTAAGTAAAATTTATACAAAAATTTATCATTTGATAAAGAATATAAACACATTCATTTGAAAATAGTAATTCGTTAAGATTAATAATATCTGACAATAATTATTAATCTCTCTACTTTTGTTCTTTAATTTTTTAAATAACTACTTTTTTTAAAATTTGTTTTAAATAAATTATGAGCATTATTAAAACAGCCAACTACCAACTTACCTAGAAAAAATAAGTGGCACCAGCTACTCAATCAATATCTTACAATATGTCCTAGACAGGAAAAGATTAGGAACCCCCTATCATCCAATGTATCCTCAAAAATTGTCAAACACAAACAAAGGAATGGTAATTGACTTTAATCATAATTTAAGAAAACGGTAAATATATATATATTGTGATATATTATAGGATAAGCGCACCACTGATGGACATAGCTTAAGAAATTTTTGTCTTTTTTGACTTATGTCGCCGTAATTATTATAGTTCTAAACTCCTCCCTTGGAAATTCATAATCTCAAGGGTCTCCTTTTTTTCTATTCAACACTTTAAAAGTGAAAAATAATTCAGTTATGCAGATATAATTTCCATTTAAAAAACAACACCTTCTGGTACAAATAATGGACACACAGAAATTAAATTGTTCCAGTAATGGACAAGGGGCCAGTAATAGACATACTTCTGAAAAATTCTAAAATTTTTATTTAACTATAAATATAACTATAAGATAACATAACATAAATGTTCAACATACTCTTATAGCCCTGGAGCAAGAACTCAAAAATCTACCTTATTGCAGATGAAAGTTTGACTGTAAATTACAAAAGTGTATAACAAAACTAGGCGGCCCGTGTTAGCAATACATATATATATATATATATATATATATATATATATATATATATACATATATTGTAACATCTCTCTTATATTTGACAAATAATAATAATATAACCTCGGAAGCTCACTTCTTACCATTGGGATACTTCCGAAATAAATAAGAGGTTATTAAATAATAAACAAAATTATAAGAGTATTAATATATTTATTTATCTCGGGTGTGGGTTACTGACAATCAGATCAACTCAGACAAACTAAAATTATTACTGCACTAGTAGAACTACATTACCTTGCCTTTTAATTGTTCAACATTAATTTATTAAAATCTTTTTACTCACTTCCAATAAAGGAGTACATATAAGTTAAAAAAATAAAAACTTTTCTCAGTGGATTTCCCGTTTCAATCCTAAAATTACTGGCCTAATATTCTTTAAATCAGCCGCCATTTTTGAAAGCAGCGGCTCTGGAACGGCAGACAAGGTTCATTTTACTCAGAATAACATACACTTTCGTAACTTACATCCATACATTCACCTACATTCAGGTTGATTTTTGGGCTCTGGCTCCAGGGCTATTAGCATAACTGTTGGTAGGAAGGTATGAAACACACTGATCTCAAGAGCACTATAGAAACAACAAAGATAAGCATTTTAAAATTTTCTTTTGGGAACTTTGTTCATACACTTGTCAATAGAGGGCATTGTTCTTCAATCTAGAAAAAACTGGAACTTTTAAATCAAGAAGGAAGCTTTTTATTTACATTTAAAGTCCAACCCATCCATCACTGGGTCCACAGTCCGTAAGTGGTGCGTTTACCCTAACAGTATTTCATTGCATTTGTGAACGTTTTAACCTTCATTGTAGGTCTTCATCAGAGCTAAAAGAATAAGACCCAAACAATAAATATTAATCGGTAGAGGGTAAAAATAAATAAAATATCGGTTGATATTAAACTAGTACAGGTTACCTGATAAATAATTGAAGGACTCATAAAAAAAATCATAAATGCTGAAGTGAATTATAGAGTCATTAAAAATACAATTTAATATATATATGATGAAATATTTTAGATTTCACATTATCAGTATCAAATAGTTATCAACTGATGAAAAAAAAAAAAAAAATAGCAACGTTAAAATATAAAGAATTGTTGCGGCCTCCATTAGCACTACTCTTACAGCGGACTCTAATGATAGAAAGATCCACCTACGGAATAGAGTTAAAGGATAGATACATTAAGAGTAAAACTAAAAGCTAACCATACCATTCCATCTAGCACTCCCGGAAGAAGTTATGAGACTAATGTGAGAGGTCTGGTTGGGAAGAGGTGGGAAGCTACTGGGGTCCATAGGACAGATAAAAAGTATAGCTTACTAAAAATATAATACATTGTATTCCTAATGATTATAAAATTCTGATTTCTTAAGAGTTCTTCAGTTCTTTATCTGGTTACTTGTACTAGTTTAATATCAACTGATATTTTATTTATTTTTATCTTGTATCACTTAATGTTTATTGTATGTATCTTATTCTTTGAGCCCTGATGAAGATCTACAACATCGATTGAAACTTTGGCAAATGCAATAAAATACTGTTATAATATATCATATATCATACATTGACCGTACCCTAGACTAACTTCTTATATTTAATAGTATATAGTATTCTATCAGAATTTTTTTAGAGTATAATTAAATAGATTTGAATATCCACAATATATTTCATTGCATGGAAAATTAATACCTAGTTAAATTTATAGGTTATTACCTGGGAGTCAGTTGGAATAGGAGTGTTCCTTACCATTGGCGGTCTCCAAATAGCTTTCATGAGTGTTGTACAAAATACAGAGCATGTTATTCAGCTAGCAGCTATGGTGTCTCTAGACTTTGCAGTTGGTTTTCTACTCATCCTAGATTTAATACTAACCAATAAAGATATTATTCACACCCTTGAATTGGAAAATTCAACATCAAACGCAGTATATCACTGAGTAGAAAAAAAAATAACGAATAATAATACAAGGATTGTGTCATTTAACTACATTTATTTTCTGATGAAATGCTGGATGTGAGGCCCTCTTCGATAAAATAGACTAATTGCTGAGCAATATCCTTATCTCTGAACATTTCAACTCGAATTTTCTTTAATAACTGCTCATAGTTAAAAGGTGCCAATATTTTCAGTGTATCTAAAAAATTATTTTTATGAAAAAAAGTGCAATAGACCTATTATTACATATATAGCATAAATTTATGTTAGAATATTTATGCTAGTTTTATGATTAAAAAAATGTATATATATTTCCAGTTAAGATTCAATAAGCAGTACTTAAGAAAATGTATTAAGTTGGGAAATTGTTAGTTTCTAATCATAAAATTGATATTAGTTAAAACAGAAATGGCTAATATTTTTATATTTTTTACAGTTATATTGATAAATTTCTCTCCGAAATATTAAAAAAAAAAAAATACTTGCAATTGTCATTTTTTGTCAATATTACTGTTATTCATTTTTTTTTTAGGGTTTGATTCATTTAGTTTTTATTAAAAGATTTTTTTGTTTTTCTAAAACAACTGAAACCCTTTTTAGTTATTTATTATGTTTTATTGGATTACCCCTACCTTACCATTTCTGGCATACATTATAGAGGTGCAATCAAACCTATTCTAGCCAGAGAGGTAAGATCAAGATTATTCTTTTGTTCCCGCCAAAAAGTAAATGTCAACTCCTCCCAGGCCGGATTTGAACCGGTATTGTTAAGAATTCTAAAATGGGCAATGCTCTAACACACTAGGCTATAACTACCTCAAAAATACAACAACCGAAACTGTTCGAACTTCCTGTTTAATAAATGTAAATTTTATTATTATTATTAATTTTCTCTAAAATCCTTGTTGGATACTGGCATTCCCTATGATATTTTAGCATTCTTTTCTACAGTAGGTAGTCAAATTCCTGCATTCCTCATTAATTTAGTCCACGATCCGTGTTGGACAATGGCAACTATGGCACCCCTTAGTTTTTGTCATTCTGCTTTACTATGGGTAAACACCACTGAAAATTATTCCAAATTAGCTGCCATTTCACTCAACGTCCTTTGCAGGCCCCAACCACACTTTCCTTGTGCTGTTAATTAGCTTCTCTCTCCTTGCAATATCTCGCCCTTAGACAAATTGGCTTGCCTAACTCAGTCTTTTATTCGCATTGTCTCTGAAAATGTCAGCTCCATTAAGCTTTCATAGAGATTTATCTCCTTTTCTTTATTATCCTCAAAAACTTTCCATGATTTATGTAACCAAAAATTTGGCATTTAATCCTTTTCTCGAAGATAAGATAAAAATCCTATTTATTATTTTTTATAAGAATTCAGGTATATGATCAGATGCACATGTAGCCATTGGTCAGAATTTAGTAAAGTATTACGTTAGACGCGATTATTGTCATGATCAGTATGCTTTTCATATTCTCCAACAGGCCAAAGCAACATTTATTAGTAGCTACAATTTCTGCATATTTTATGTTCATAGATTAAAATCTATGACCCCTTTAACTTCTTTATATTCACTAGGAAGCCCAAGAGCAAAGTGGCACTTTTTAAATAAAAACAAGAGTGCTCAGAATTTGCTAAGGACTTGGGAATTACATCAAGATAATAAACATTTCCAAAAAGTCTAACCAATCTTGGATATGATGTAGTTATAATCTGTATGCATATACCTGTAATCATTTCCTCCAATGACAATTTCAAAAGAAAACTCGAAAAGGCAACACACTGTCTCAAATACTTATTCAAAGAAAATTCAGAGCAATAATCCGAATTTTGGAAACAAATTTTGCATTTTACTTCTTTCATCATTATTTTAACCAGTCAGACTAACTTGGAAGGCATTGAAGTCAACACAGATTCACAAGTAATGACTACAATCGGTACGATACATTAGATAATTTAACCATTAAATCATGAAATTGAACTGCAAAATTCCATAAGTGAAGGTCTGCTGAGTATAAGAAGTAAGAAAACTCATAGAAGGTTTTGCATGCCCTGAGTCTCATCAAGTTGGTTCAGAAACAGCAAAACGTTTTTAGAAATCGAGGATTTTCTGCTTGCATTACAGGGGCAAGTGCTCGCAATTACTTTGTAAATAAGTAAACATTTTACAAAAATTCTAATTATAAAATGTTTTACAAAGTAGTGATTGAGTTCATTTATATTCATATGATCATTCATTTATATTCATATGGTCTCAGCAGAAAGAGAATACCTTACGAAAGTTATAAAATTATGATAACTTAGTAAAGATAATACACCAGCGATAGTCCACCAATAAATATGATATTTGAGCTCTATAAAAAATGGAAAATAATCGAGATAAGTTTTCCTAATGAAGAAAAATACTCAGTTGATGCTGAGAATTTTAGGAAATCTCACTAACAGCTGTGTGTGAAAGTAGAGCAATTATTCCACAACCAAAAAGAGGAAAAAGTAGTGCCCTAGATTATTTATATCAATGGATTGGCCCCATAAGAAACAACTAAACAAAAGAAATTGGAAGAAATTGAAACTTATTATTTATTGAGAGAATGGCAGGAAGCTATGCTGCAGAGGATAAGCAGCAAGTATTAGGGGGACCAGAAAGTAATATCGTTTTCTTACGTTATATTCAAACACATAAATATTTATTTTTAATCAATGATGTAATCATCCTCATTATCGACTACCTTTAACCATTTAGTGTGCAAATTTCCAATACCAGGTCTGTAGGAATCAATTGGTTTTTTAGCCAAATATATATAGTATTGAAGTGATCAGAATAAATATAAATCCGATGGTGCAAAATCAGGCGAGTATGGTGGGTAAGGCAGTACTTCTCATCCCAATGCATTAATTTTTTTCAGGGTTCGTCTTGCTCAGTGCAGTCTTGCATTATTTTGTAGAATAACATCTTCTCTATTGACAATCACTAGCCATTTTTCAATCAAATATCAAAGATTGATTTAAAATGATTCATTTGTTCACAGTAAGGGTCTGCATTACAGTTTGTCCAGGTTGCAGCACTTCAAAATGAACAATGCTCTGTTTTGTTTTGTTTTCCCCTTCCTCGTCTTTTAGGCTATACAGGGTTTTCCAGGCCAGGGGATGAGGGTGGGAGATTAATGCCAAATTTAAAAGGCCCTCTCAGCACTGGACTTGTAACTATTTTATCACCCATAACTTCAGTTATCAAGTTGTCGAACAACGCGCTGTGTTGTGCACACACCAGATCACTCGGCCATCCCTCCCCATAATTAACAATGCTGTGAATACACCACCAAACACACAAAAGGGTCTTTTTGGGGTGTAAACCTGGCTTAGCAGGATATTCATTTGAAGAGAGCCACTAATGCATTTTGGATTAACATAGAGGACCCATTTTTCATCTCCAGTGATCAAGCAATTATAAAACGCTCCTGTATTGTACCTTTGAAGCAATAAGTTGCATGAGGTAGTTATGCTCCAAATGTTGTTGGATAGTGAACCAAGGTTGGTTAAGGCAATTCCTCGATTGTCTGACAACGATTTACTTTCACTTCCACCCTTAACATTTCATTGCCTAATGTTGGTCGTCCTCATTGATACGAGATGGAAGGATCAAAATTACCGGATTTGAACTTGGGAAACTACCTTTGGAATTTACAAATGTCTAACGCATTGGAATAAACATTGCAAATGTTTTTGATAGCAACTGATGTGTTACTTCCCTTGCGAAACTCACCTTGCAATTGCAATTGGTTAAAACCATTCAATGACAGATATGTACCTCTTCTGGTATTAAGCTGGCTGTTTCACCCAAAACCATCAAACAAATTTAAATGTAATTATTTATAACATAACAAGTCACTATAACCTTAGAATGTCTTTGCCACGGCTTAGATGTACAAAAAGAGTAGATAAATGACAATCAAATAGAGACATGCTTAGAAACGACATTACACTACAGAACCTTCTCCCTACTCTTATCGTTATTTACTGCCCTCCTTGTGTTCGATTTGATCCCACATTTGAATCCTCCCTCCTTACATTTCCATTTCCATTTTATCCAATTTATCCAAGCCTCTAGAAAGATTAGTTCACTCTCAGTTGAACAACTTTCTCGAGCAAAACAGTCTCCTCAATCCTCTACAATCCGGTTTTCATTACCAATGCTCCATCTAATCTGCCATATTAAAGATTACCCAAGACCCTCCAATCGTCTATAGATAAACAGAAAATCTCCATCCTAGTCCTTTTCGACTTCTCAAAAGCCTTCGACTCCGTCAACCATAATATGCTCATTTCCAAACTCCAAAGCCTACCCATATCGAATAGCATACTTAAATGATTCCTCTCTTTTTTATCCCATCGCTCCCAGACAGTTGTTATTCCTGACAAATCTCCTTCCTCGTCTCTTTAATTAACATAAGGTGTTCCTCAGAGCTCCTCACTCAATCCAACTCTGTTCTCCATTTATATTAATGACCTTCCTGACTCCATTCGTCATTCCCACTATCATTTATATGTAGATGATCTACAAATTTACTTATTGTTCCAACTATCTGAGATGCCCAAGACTACCTGAAAACTACAAGAGGATATTGACTTTATCCATAGGTAGGCAGAAAAAAATAAACTAAAGCTGAACGCAGACAAAACTAAGGCAATCCTCATCGTCTCTAAGTACCTCATTAGTTCCCTTTCTTTCTTTCCTATACTTTACCTCAATAACCGCCTCATCCATTTCTTTATGGCAGTCAAAAATCTCGGAGTGATCTTTGATCAAAACCTCTCTGGGAACAACCACATTTCCCAGATTACCTGTAAATCCATAACTATCCTTAAAAAATTCCTTCGATTCCGTGATTCCATTCCAAAAAAACCAGAAAGCTCCTTGTAATATCCCTTGTTTTCTCCCACTTTGACTATGCTTGCCTGGTGTATGGAGGACTGTCGACAGGAGTGGAGATGAGACTGAAGAAACTTATGAATTGCCTCACAAGATTCATCTTTCGGATTCCCAAACGATCTCATGTTTCTTGTTGGTACACCAAGTTGGAGTGGTTTTATCCTACTTTTCAACAGCAATTACTTCTTGGTGTTTTTCTTTGATAAAAGACATTTTATTTTTATTTATTCACTTTTTTATATCTCAATATTTATTGTATATATTCGTTTTTTCCTTAATATTTTTGTAGATATTTATATATTTTTTTTATATATTTGTATTTTCCATGGTATCTTTACATATATTTATATTTAAAATTTCCTAAGTATTTTTTGTTTATATTTGTATAATGTATACATGCCAGACTAATGTACATATTTTTTAAACTCTACTATGATTCTAAGGGGACTTCGGTCCCAAAATTATTATTCATTTCATTTCATTTACATTCCAGTCCTCTCAATATTATAAGTTTTTTTTTAATTCGGCAAACAAATTAGATATGTAAATTTTCCTGGCATTAACTGATGTTGAAATTCTGTTAATAATAATTGATAATAGTAATATTATTAATGTAGTAATATTATAACTTACTCATAAATAAAAACTAAACTAAACATTAAATTAAAATTAACATACCTAAAACAATGTTCCTAAACTTTTCATCAGGATCATCCAAATGAATTAGAAGAGTTTCATAAGTGAAACTAAGAAGACTTGAATTATGATCATCTTTCTCTTTTAGTAAATCCAACTCTGCACGATACAATTCACTAATACACTCAAGGCTCATTTCACGAACTTTTTGGTTACAGTCATCAAGTCTCTTGAGTAATCCTAAAAATGAGATAAATCAGAACCCTAGAAATAATAGAATGACAATGTTGGATAATTTAAATAGAAGAGAAATATAAAATATTCCCGACAAAAATTCACACTAGTAATCAAAACAAAAATTTTATTTTTAAATAAACCACGCATGATCCTGCTATCATTATTTTAAAACAGAGGATTTGATTTTTGTATTGAATAAAATAGGCTTTTATTACTTTTTAATTATTTCTTTATGCATATTCTTGAATCAGTTATAAGAGAAACATGAATAGTTTCGATTAGTTTAAGTTTGTAGTATTTCCTACTAAGAAAGCATCTTGGCAGTAAAGCCCTTTCTTGTCAGACAAGAGCCATCTTTATAAAACAGTCATACAATCTGAACTGGTCTATTGTTTAGAGGCGTGATGAGTTCAGATAATAAAGAACTCTTTATCTTTAAAAAAAAAAAATGTCAGCATATATCTTTTTATATATCAGCATAGACTCATTAAGATTGAAGGGAACCAGCGAATGAGATATGATAACATGTAGATATACAAACTCCTCATAGTGGTTGGTCGGTCCTAAAGGTAGTAAATGGAATTTGAGGAAATTTATAGTAGAGAAGGACCATTTTTACATTAGTCTCCAAATTTCTCAAAATTTTGGCCAAATAGAAAAAACATTTTTTGAAACCAATGTGTATTAAAGGAACTATCTTTTAGCATGTGAAAGCAAAAGTAGAAAGAATTTGGATAACTGACCATCTAAATATCAAACCACAAAATCTCTGAAAATATAGTCAAATCGAATAAATGGTAGAAGATGTTATGTCCATCACAAGGGTTTGACTACAGATACATGTGGGACCAAATTCGTCCCTTGATATCTAAAATGCAAAACATGAATAGAAGATTCTCAATTCTGAGAACAACTTTTTAACTTCCAATATAAGTACATTTCTCTCTGTTCTGCAATAAGAAGCAAAAATCTAAAGACCAAAAACTTGAGAACTTGTGTTTTGCAGCACAGATATAAATTTATGTGGTAATACCCTAACTTAGCAGCCTCCATATACATAATAACGTGTAAAAATAATATGGACTTTAATTCAACCATAGATTTCTTATTGAAACTATTGGACATTATTTAATCAAGAATTAATAATCCTACCTTATATGAAATATCCAAAACCTTGTGCTTTGATCATTCCAATATAAAATATGTCATCTTTGAACTAAACAGAAAACAAATAGTTATTTAATTTACTTATTTGGGCTTTAAGACATAAAACCCTAAGGTCATCAATGCCTGTACACTAAAGCTTTTCTTGGAGCAAAGTTCAAAGTTTAAAACATTATTAATAGTTCAATCTTCTTCCATTAACATTTTAATTATTTCTAAGAAATATCAAGTTATTTACAAAATCCATAGTAATTAGCAAGGAATCAAATTAACCTATTGTAACGTAGTTATCTGGTTATTTATTAGGAAGGTTATTAGGATGGTGATAGCGACCCCTGTGTCTAATAACATAGCCCCTTTGGTCCTCCAGATTTTGGGGGTTGGGCACGGGGCTAATAATCCTATCACGTAAAAAAGCAACAACAGGATAGAGATGAATGCAAAAGGTTGCAAGCCATCCTGATGAAGAGGGAGTGATTGTGATCGCATCCGGTTATTACTGGATGCGATCACAATCACCACATGATCCCTGAATATCATCTGCATAAGAAGAGAACCAAATGATTACAACTTATCGCCTAGAACAGCACCAATGCTGCCAGAAGATTAATGGCGGAAATCAAAAGAGTCAAGAGTGGTTAAAAAAAAAAAATCTGGTTATTTATTTAATTTACTTTGATTGTAGTAGAAAGAAAAAGAAACTGTCTCTTAATTAAATATTATCAACATGTTCTGTCACCACAGGCTTGTAAAAATTTTGATGGATTGATAAAATTTGAAATTTTACCTTCCATAATCTTAGAAAATGTTTTGTGCTCATGGATTTCCTGAAGGAGGCTACATCGTTTTACAGAAGCTATAGACAAGGTACGTGTCTTCTCATTAGAATCCTCTATCAATTGCAATAAAACTGGAATCAGATTTGGAGGAAGATTACGCGGCAAAAGAAGGAAAAGCGAAGTTGCTGCCATTGTTCTAATGGCTTCTGCACTTCTTCCCGCTTTCCATTTCAGTTGTTCATATAAAATATCTGTAAAAAAAAAAAAAAATAATAATAATAATAAAAAAAAATAAATAAAAAAAAAATAAAAAAAAATAAAATAAATACACTTAAAAATCAGGATAATAGACACAATTTCTACTTATTCTTAAAAAAGCAGATTTTTTTGCTTTAAAATCTTTTACTTATATCTATCAGTTACTTATAATGGCATTGAAGACTGTCTTCTGATTTAATTATTTTCTTATTCCTTACATGGATCACAGTAAAAGGTAGTTCATAAATTTGGATTAGATAATTGCTTAAAAAGAGCAATTAAGTGAGAATTATATTGTGAAAAAATCTGATATTAGCTGATCATCAAATGTTTTCTATTCTGTATTATAACTACAGTGATGTAACAAAAAAATACAATAATATCTTCTCCAAATACCTGTAATGACAGTATTTTTGAAATATTCTCTGACTTGCATAGATGGCAAGGTGATATCTTCATCAGTGATGATTTTATTCAAAGCTAGAATCACTTTCAGTATTACTTCTGGATCTGTCTCTTCTTGCACCAAACATTTTTTAAATACATTTAAAATGGAATCGACATTTTCTTCAACTACTTCACCTTAAACAAAATAAAAATTGAAAATATTAGCAGATAAATAAGTAGATTACGCTTATTTATTAAACCAATAGGGTGTATAAAAAAAAATGACTGTTTTTTAACCAAATATTTGTATTATTATTTCTTTGATATAAAATACAATTAATACTCAAAAGTATAGTCGATTGTTATCTATCGTCTTTAGCTATCTGCTAGCCATTGCTCAACCCTACGCTGATACCATTCTTTGGGATGGCTGTCAAAGAACTTTTGGACCACAATTTCAACTTCCACAAAATTATCAAGTTTTTTTTCCTTGAAGATAATGGACCATGGATCTAAATTAGTAGTAATCTGATAGTGCGAGGTGTGGACTATATTTTGAATGAGGCAGGAGTTTAAACCCATGAAGTTCTTTAAACTTTTCTTTGGTTCAAAAGGAAGTGTGAGGACGAGCATTATTTTGTTGGAATAAAATTCCTTTTGAAGACAGCAATCTCAAAGTCAAACTCGACAATAGGCTCTATACTAACCATTTGTTCAAAAACCAAAACAAACTCATGGAAGGTGAGAGACAAGTTAAAAAAAACCATCATTAATACAGCTTTGCTATATTCTGCTCAGGTATGGAGTCTCTGATACATAAACCTCTAAGAAAAGGTTAACATAAATTTTTATAAAAAGACATTTTCTCTTTGTAAATTCACCCCAGATTTTTTAATACATTTAGAAAAAGATTCTATTCATATTGGTTTTGATGTTATGAAGTATTTCTTGAATTGGTTTGTTAGGCTTGTGGAAATGGAGGAATATAGATATCCTAAAATATGTTTCAAAAAGCTAAGAACCAAATGTTACCAATCTAATTCTGTTCTTTCGAAATATCAACAGGATATTAAACAAATATAAACGACATTTGCACGAGGTTGACAAGAAAGCATTGCATAGTTCAACTTACAGTCAACATTTGAACCTTTTTTTTAACAATGGTAGGATCTCCCAGTACCTGTTGATGTCGGCTAATTTCAAATATACCAGAGTTTTAATGCAGATCCGCCTCTCAGGAAAATACTTGATTAAAATTTCAGTCAACAACCAAATTTTAAAAATCAATCACAACTTGAGTGCAAAATGTGCAATACAATGGAAAAAGAAACACTTCATCATCTATTATTTAAATGCCCAATATATAATAAATTGGGAATAAGAAATTACCAGGGTATGGGAAATCTTTATGGGATCGAAATATTCAACCCAACCACTATAGAAGATAAGAGAAAACTATATTTTTTCATCTCTTCTTCTTTCTCTAGCTCCTTTGTGCCGTTAAGCGTGGAGCTGCAGTCCCAGCCCATCTTACCCACTGGTCTCTGTCCCTGGCTAGTCTTCTCATCTCCGGTATGGTGCGTCCTCTTGCTGTGCCAGTTTTCCAATATAATCATGGTAAGTGTGTCTCGGCCTGCCACGAGGTCGTCTGCCTTCCGGTCTAGCTTCCATAAACCACTTGGCCTATCGGGTGTCGTCCATTCTGCAGATGTGCCCGAACCATTTCAACTGCTTCTCTTTCAGGATGCCACGGATTGATGTCACCTCCAATTCCTCACGGATTCTGTCATTTCTAACACAGTCCCTCTTAGTTTTGCCAGCTATTCTACGGAGGAATCTCATTTCCGCTACTGTGATCCTGCCTACGTGCTTATCGAGGGTTGTCCAGCTTTCAGATCCATAAAGAAGTACTGGGAGGAACACCGCCTTATATATCGTGAGTTTGGCCTTTCTGCTTACTTCCCGTTTTCCTATGATTGTATTGGCTATCTTATAATATACTCCATTGGCCTTCATCACCCGATTTAGTACCTTCTGGTCTATTTTACCATCTTCATTGATGATTGTCCCCCAGATACGTGTATGCATTTGTTACATCTAGGGGTTCACCATTACTTAACATCATAGGATCCGCATTATCTTTTCCAACGCACATAACTTTGCTCTTAGACGGGTGAATACTACCTTATTTTCGATATATAGATTTAAATACAGGTTTCTCGGAACCTTCTTCGCTCTGAGAGCTTCCCATATTTCATCTTGTGGAACTGATTCAAAGGTAGATTTGAGGCCAAGGAAAGCCAGGTGCATATTTTTATCCAGGTCCCAGGATTTCTTAAAGATATTTTTTAATGAGAAAATGTGGTCATGGGTTTGGCGCACAGTTCTTAATTCAGCTTGCTCTTCTCCTATTAAGTGCTCAATTAGTGGTCTTAAGCGACCCACCAATATAGATGTATATAGGTTGTACGCAACTGGCGAGAGGCATATGGGTCTGTAGTTACAGCATTCTTCCATTCCGTTGGAATCCTTTTTTCGTCCCAGGCTTTCTGGAAAAGGACTTGCGATGCTTGTACTAGCTCAGGGCCGCTATTCTTTATTAATCAAGCTACTACAACATCCACTCCTGGCATTCCTGTTTTCTTTTTGCACATGGCTCTCTCGATTTCCTCTTCCTCAATCATCTCACCGTACTCTTCCTCATTCCAGTTTCCATTTCTGTTGGTTGAATGGTGATCATCAATACCAAACTGATTCATGTAATGATGTCTTCAGACCTCCAAAGATAGCTCTATCTTCCGTGACCACTTTACCTTGTTCACTCTTCATGTTTCTAACTGCTGTAGAGTTTCCTTGCTTTTACGTTCCCTTAGACCTTTAATTTTTTTTCAGAAATTCCTGATGTTTTTCCAATGATCCTAATCCAAGTTCCTTCCAACTTCTTCCCATGATTTCTGTTTCGCCACTCTTACTGCTTCTTTTGTCTTGTTTTGGGCCAACACATATGCTTGCCTTTTCTCTGCAGTTTTGTCCCGAGAGTATCCCTTCCACGCTGTTTTCTTTGGCAAGACTTGCACTCTCAGTTCTTTGCTCCACCAAGATATATGTTTACCTTTCGTGCAAATCTTTTTCACTCCATACACTACAGTAGCTGCATGCAGAATGCTATCGTTTATTTAAATCCATAGATTGTCAACGCTTGCTTTTGCATCTAATTCCTGGACCCGATTCCTTAACTCTAATTTATACTCAACTCTCTTTTGAGGGCCCTGCAACTTCTCTACTTCAATTCTTGAATAGACTTTCATCTTATGCTTTCTTTTCTTCAGCACTCAGGTATCAACAACCAGGAACATATGGTTACTTCATATTTCTGCACCTATGATTATTTTTATATCTGAAAATTTTTCTTCATATGTCGTGGCTGTAGATGAAATAGTCTATGACACTGTTGACATTTCTCTTAGTGGCTGAAAAGGTAATTTTATGGACCAGATTATGTGGAAAGAATGAATTCTCCAGTAGTAGATCATTTTCAATGCAGAAATTGATAAGCTGTTGCTCACTTTCATTTTTAATGTGTTCTCCACTCCATGTGCTCTTAGGTAATCCTTTCCTGTTCTATCTTCCCCTTCATATTAATTAATTTCATGAATCACTTCAGTGGCTGTGAAATTTGTTTCAACTAATGCCTTAAAATTATGAGAATTTCGTAGGACACTGCTGTGTTTCTTCTTTGAAACAAATAACTAAACTAAGACTTTTTTTGAAGAAGTGGAATGGGATTAAACAAGCTTACAGAATGCTCTAAAGGGATTATTAAGTATTGATAAGTAATAAATAGGATTAAAATATTTACAGTCCTTTGAATATTACAGTTCCACTCCATTATTTAGTATTAATTATTATAAAAATAAAGAAAAAATTATGTCCGATTTAGTTTATGCTTATCAATATCATAAAAAGCTTGGTTGCATGTGTCTTAGCAAATGCATGTAGCTTTCCATAACTGCTGTCATGACAATCTAACACTGAAGAAGCGAGTTGACTTCAGAGACTTATTCAAGTGAAGTAATATTTGTAAATAAAATGAATAAAAATTGAAACTTTATTGTCATTTAGAGTAATGAATTGTCTTTTTGACATTGTGCCAGGAAAATATTGGGGAGAAATGAGACTGAAGGATAATAACTTTAGAAAAATATGCATTAGTACTAATTGTATTATAGTTGTAATTATAATTTTATAGCTATGTTTTGATGCAATCTATTTCCTATATTTTTATTGAATCAAAATGGAATAAATAAATATTATTTTATTTTTACCCAGTAACCAAAATCATTCTAGAGACAGTTCATAAGTGAGACAATCATCCTACTTAAATATAGAATTATGTATAATTTTTGTATAAAGGAAATTTAATATAGTACGAGCTAAGACACATTATACAGATTACTAGCCGACCATTATGTGGAGGGGAAAGTATATTCATTTCAGAGTAGAAACCTTTAGAAATAAATCTCATTTACGCTTTCATTAAAAAAAAAAAAAAATCTGGTGAGGGCAACACACAACTTTCACTTACCGCTAAACTTTGAATAGAAATAATGTTTGGCCATATCGGGCTATTATAAAATTTTTGAATTGCACTTTTAACTGAGCTGAAGCCAAAAAAATACAGCTAACAAATCATAAATACCATTAAAATAACCAAAACCCTATTTATTATATCACCGGTTGATTATGGATTGTACGATCCGTTGATCATGTATTGCACGATCAATTGATTATGGATTGTAATAAAATTATTAAACTAGAGTAAATATATTTAAGGTTATAAGCTTATGCATGAAATGATTTTATATTTTACTTGTTCTTTCACACAAGTACAATTAAATAGTTATTTAAACAATGTCATTGCCTTTATTAGGTGGATCTTAAATATTTCTTTCGAAGATAAAAATATTTTAAAAGGTTGCATTTAGTTAATAAATTTCATTTAATTTCCTTGAAAACATGTGATTTACGTTAAATATTATTAGTTTTAAAAAAATATTATTTATAATTTTTTTGCCAATCTCCGCTTCCTGTTACAACTTTCGATATTGTTTTTTCTAAAATTCTCCGCTTTCCAACGATATATTATATGTATATCTTCGGACTAGTATTTCCAGAGATTCATTTTCGACCTGGATAGGCATTTTTATTTTTTCTCCTTTATTCAATTATCAAATTCTTTTAAAAGTTATATTTAGCATTTTTTCATAACTTTTAATAATGTGAGATAATTGATTATTTAAAATAAACCATATTAAAGGTACTTTAGAGGAAGATGCATATGAACATTGGGCATTTAAGCCCTGTAAAGTGATATCAACGGGGATAAGACCTAAATGATATTAAAGACCACTTAATTATACAATGATACACTGAGTTTAATTTTTGAGAAAATTTTAAAAATGTGTTAATCGTTCATATAAAGTGGCACTTCAAGTTAGCCGATTTTAACGAAAAAGTTACTGTCACATCCGGCCCATATACAAACCTTAAAAACTTAATGTCGGTTTCGTACCACTTTTCGTTTATGAGCTAGACTGTTAACACATACACACAGACACAGACACACACACAGACACAGACACAGACACAGACACAGATACACACGTACACGCACACACGCACGCAGACCATTTTGCGACACTTAGTTATTTGGACTCAGAGGACCTCGAAACACATTTTTCTGTTGAAAACTGAGATTCGAAAATGTTCACTATATATTTCATATATACGTAAGTGAAAGTAAAAAAATGTCAATATTACTTTTTTGCTTCGTTAATGATCAGTTGATTTCCAGTGAGTAAGTGGAACATTTTTAGTGACGATCAGTTATTAGACAGAAAAATAATATCAACAAATAAGAATAAATAAAATTAAAAAAAAAAAATTTACCATACATACTCTCTCTCCCTCAGGTAGCAAGTAATTAGGAATGAAAAAATATATTGGGGAGTAAGGAAATCTTAATAACACATTGTTCTATAGGACTTAATATGGAAGAGAATGATACTTTAAAATGAATTTATATAGACACTGTAAAATAAAAATAAATTAAATAACAGTATGAATATTAAAATTACTATTACTTACCAGTGTAAAATACCATTGCTTTGAAAATATATTGTTGATGGCAATGGACGGTCCAATGGAAATCTAAAAGCGAAGTCAAGAGGGGTTTACAAAATCTATTAAAAACAATCCGTCTATCACCTCCTCCAAGCTCACACATTTCTGACAACAATGCTGAAAACAAATTTTTATTATCATCCAGTTTCCATTAATTTATAACAGATTATTTTATTGATGTTGGTGATTTCATAGAATTACTTAATCAATTTCAACAGGACCATGATTTAGTTTCCAATTATTAGGGATTATATTGACAAAGATGTTAATCCGGGATCAACCAAAGATTTAACCACGTGATCAGCAGCAGAAGGTTTGAAAATTGAAAAAGTAGAGATTACAACCCTAATGCCAAAAATCCTCGAGTGTTTGGAAGTGTTTCGTAGAACTTCAAAAATGGCAAAAACTGCCAAAAATTACATAATCAGCAGCAGAAAAAAAAACCTACTGGAATAATTTCAGGCAACTCAGTAGATGACAGGTTTGATAAAGTCAGACAAAATTTTGGAAGCTTTATACGAATCTGACAGCTTTTAAAAATCTCAAAAGCTCAAGAAATTACATGATCAGCAGCGGAGAAAAACTGGTTGGAATACTTTCAGAACACAGTAATTTTATTATTGTTATTTTATAAAATCTGAATAAATTTTTTGGAATCTTTTCACGAATCTTACATGCAAATTTGAAAATAGTACCAAAAATTATGCAATCATCAGCAGACCAAAAACGGTTGGAATAGTTTCATACCACTTAGTAGGTAACTAATTTGATAAAATCTGACATTTTGGAAACTTTTCACAAATTTGAGTTGCAAATAGTTTCAGACTACTTTGTAGGAATGTGGCACTTATCACGTATAACAAAACGGGGCAGTATAACACAAAATTAGGATCCGTTGGTCCAAGAGTTTTCCCTGTTACCTATTTCAGCCTATCTGTTAGGTTTATGAAAAATGTTGGTAAATCTGTCATGTACTGAGTTTTCTGAAACTAATCCAGTACGTTTCTTTCTGCTACTGATTACATTTTTGGCAGTTTTGATGATTTTTGAATTTCTACCATAGCCAAATGCTTCCAGTTCAAATGCTGCCGTCCGACTCAAGGGTATTAGGCATTAGGGTTGTCATTTAGACTATTTTCAATTTTCAAACCTTCTGCCACTGATCACGCGGTTAAATCTTCAGTAGATTCCGGACTATATTAGCCTGCTATTGCAGTATCAATTATACTGAGCTAGTTAAATGATTTTTCATTTTTATAAATTAATCTATTTTTAAAATGAATGTAGAAAGAATTTTCCACATATGAATAGTATTAAAAGTCATAGCAAGTAGTCATGATTTTTTTTACTCCCACAACAGTTATTAGTGTAATCGTATAAATTGTAATCAAAGTTAACTGTAACATAGTGAACCAAGCTCTAATCATAGTGAACCAAACCCTTAACATTCGCAAAACATATCAATTCATGAAATTTATTATGATGAGGAATAATTTAATGTTCAAGTATATGCAACTTACATTGCATGGTTATATTGAGTGGATGATAAATAATGCATGTTTCCGCCATTGATATGTTTTAACACCAATTGTGTAAACAAAGCAAATCCTAAATATTCGTTCTTTATATACCATAATAAACCTTTAATAACCTTAATGATCTAATTATGTTTCTTCTACCAAGAATTTAATCAGTAAAACAATTTTGTTCAGTATGTTTAAATGTTTGAATTAAAAATGTCAAAGTATGATTTTCGTCAAATTTATTTTTACAAATTTAAATTAGAGTGCAGCAGTGCACAAACTGCTTGCAACATTAATGGAGTAAGGTGTAAGAGGACTATTAACGAATGTACTGTACAGCGTTAGTTCCAAAAGTTTCACAGTGGAGATTTTTGCTTGGAAAGTCGTGGCTGCCATTCTGCAATTGACAAAGAGTAGCTGAGAACAATAGTGAACCAAACCACCATTGTACACCACCTGGAGGCAATTGGTAAGACAAATAATTTAGTTAAGTGGCCACAAAAATTGCCAATTTGAAATCTTTTCCATGCTTTTGACTCTCAATAAAAATTATTCATTTCTCAATCCCATAGTGAGGTGTGATAAAAACGGATCTTATAAGACACCAGAAGGTATTTTAGTCATTGGCTGGACAAAGATGAAGAATCAAGATACTATCCAAAGCCCAACCTGCACCTGAAAAAAGTTATGGTAACGATTTGGTGGTCTACTGTCAGTTTTATCCACTTCAGCTTTCTTAATTGTGGCGAGAATACCGATGCTGACAAGTACTGTAAAGAAACTGATGACATAAACAGGAATATTTTTTTGGTGGTATAAAAAAGCTTGTTGGACGTTGGCGAAACTGCATCGATTCTGATTTAAATTATTTCAATTAAATATCTATAGTTAAAGCGAAAACATAGCATATTTTCAATGAATATTAAAAACTTGCATTATTTTTTCATCAACCCAATACATGAACTTGAAAAAACATTTAACTGAATTCTTAATTATAATATTATGTGGAGACAATAAAAAAGGCAAACATGTATTGGGATAATCTCAATACACAAATGTCTAAATAAATAACATACCTACTGCGCTATTTGCTATGGTCTCATTTTCAGCAAGACCAGCAACACTAACAAGTGAACCCCATATAGATTCACCAATTTCATCAAGACATTCAGACCCACAAGTTTTAAAAATTGACTGAATCAAATCAAGCTTAGCACTTTGCTCTTCACCCTGTAAAATAAGGTTATATTAACATACTAAAATCAAATGACAAATGTGAAAAAATAGGAGAGTGCATTACAAACAGTAATAATGTAAGGATGTGCAGATTACAAAGAGTCTTTCACAAGCTAAGTAAAATGAATGTTTACAATGTTTCAAAAGAAGATAAAATCAAACTAAAGAGAAATGAAACAGTAGAAGAAACATAACCAGAAATTTTACAGAATATTAAATAAAAATACGAAAAATAGAAATAAAATTAAAGATATAATAAAACAGCTAATGGATGTATTAGAAAAATTGTTAGAAGAAATACAAAGTTAAAGCACAGGAACAAGAAATAAATTACCTATGAAATAAAATTAAAAAATAATAGCTTATTTTTAGCTTTAATTAAGTTCATATCAATTAAGTTGAGCTTTGTTTTGTTAGTAACTAGTTGTTACAGGTTAGCTGTAAAGTTTAAGATTTAGCTCCGTTAAAAATGCACTACAAAAACTTTGTAATATTCTAACATTGCCAGAAAATAATCCTATTCAAAGTAGAGGGGTAAATGAAAGTCGTGTGATCTTTACTAAAACCACTAGAATAAGGCTACTCTCAAGACAACTTTTACATTAATTTTGAAAATTAAATACCTTGTTTAAGAAAAATTAATTATTAGGATAAAGTTAATTGGAGATAAGAAGTAAAGGAAGAAACAAAGCTTAACAATGGTAATTTATGTACAGTAGACCACCAAATTTCTCTGTTCAACCACACAAAATTAATTATTTAAATGTGAACCTTGAATGATGTAATATCGAGATGAGTCAATGTCTTCAAATGAGGAATTAATTCTTTGGCAGGAGAGCCTCTGATTATACCAGCCACTATCCTTAATTCTCCATAGTTGGCTTCACGCAGAAATTCAAGAAATACTTTACAGTAAGTTTCCGGTGGAACAAAATACCCTAAATACTCAGCAGCAATTTTCACCTGAAATACAATACATAAGAATAATAGACAATATTTTCAAAATATATAATGTGTACAAAAACATGTATTTAAACATTTTAGAAACAATTTGAATTTTAAGAGTAACTTCTATATCTATAAATAAGTTATTTTCAGATTTTTTATTAAATATACATACTTTATAATTGTTTGGGGGTAACTTTTAAATGATCTAAAATACTTTTATAGCTAATGATATCTATGATATGCCAATTTTAATCTTACAAATCATAAATTTATTCCCAAACCGTAATTAATTTACTTAATTTTGATTAATATGGAGAATATTTTAAGAATGTAATAAACAAATATACATTATTGAATAGACTACTTTTAACATGCAAAAACACCATTATTTTCAGAGGTGATTTTTTTTGTATATATTCCAGTGATATTAAACAAATATTTAACCTTAAAGCATTAGTAATCTTACAGCATAATGTTTTGTTTTTTAAAAATAGAATCACCATGGTCAACTATAATTCAAGGTGTATTTCTGTCTTAATTTTTATAATCATATTATGTTTTATTTTTTAATTCTATTAAATATATTACATATCATATATTTTAACAAAACGATTGTTGCCATTGAATTACAATGTAATTAGCTTTCCAGTCTTTGAGAAATAAATTTAGCATTTGCAATGTGTTGTGAACAATTTGCTGTGTTTATTAATACTTACGTATCATTCTTTCCATATGAGCTATTATTAGCAAGATAAACTGTTTTATTTTTTTGGGAGAGGGGGGATGGTGTATATAAACGTTTTATTCTTGAAAAATTGTATGGAATGAATCTTTTAATTTCTGTTGCATGTTAAATGGGAGCAGGATGGCAAAGTGTTCAAAACACGTGTTGCTTGGCTACCAGATGATTGATAAACAAAAACTCACATGATATAAAATAATTATGAGTTCGCGTTTCTGTGCCAGAGGGGCTTTTAACTCTGGCATTAATCCTCTGCCTACTCTCCTGCCCTGGGAAAGTTCCTCTAAATGGCGAGAACAGGGAGGACAAAAAAATAAAATAAAATAATGTTGCATGTTAAATTTGTCATGTTCTTTTGTTCATTTATACTGCATTGTATTTATCATTTTTCTACATTTGGAAAGTACACCGTTGATTCTTTCCTTAGGGAGGAGAGGTGTTGTGGACTACCTGCTATTTTTATTAACTAGTTGGCACATCCAAATAATTCACACAGTATAATGGTCAGTGATCAAATGACAAATTTATATTAAAGAAAAATAATGCAACATATTATAAGATGGAGAAATCAATTCTTATCATAATTAAAGTTTTTTTTCTTCATAACTTTTTTCCTGAAGTTTCGGGGAATATTGAACTTGATATTGATAGAGACAGATTGAACGTAGAGCAGCAGTTCTTAAGCTTTCTTGCTATAGTACCCTAATTAGATTAAAAAATATTCACGGATCGCTTGTAGGACTAAAAAAAATTGTTTTGTACTCATCCTTAAAGTGACATAATAGAATTTAGTTTTCCCTATATATTGACATAATAAAATTTTGCCTAGATATTTTCTTAAATAATTTTAAGAAATGTTAAACAAAATTAATTTTAATTCTGTTATTAAACATTATATAAATAGGCAAATACAAGACAATTCAGAAACTATTTCTCTTCTGTTCCTAAACCTATTTCTTTTTTATTTTATTTAATTATTTTTTTTTTTTGTTTAATAGCAATTGATTAGGTTTAGTGTTGTCAAAAAAAAAAAAAATAAAATTGAAACAGTGCATATATTTATATAAATGTAAAGATTGAAATTATTCAAAACTGCTAATCTCTGAAAGTTCTTCACAGATTGCTTTGAAATTTTGATGTAACATTGCAATCAAATTCGACGTTGTTTCATGTAAATTTGATACTGACCTTTTGTTTCAAAATGGCAGCTAAAAAAACTTGTGTCACTATAGACTATAGTGCCAAAATAGCTGAAACAATTTTAATGAAACTTGGCTAGTCTTCTCCTTGAACCCCTTTTAATTTATGAATATCACTTACATTCCCGAAAGGAAGCTTAAAAAAAGTAATGACGGATTCACAATTTTATGTGCAAGTAACTCAAAAAGTACACAAACGGTTCTGAACTTTTCTGTATTGGAAGCATATATGAAAATGCATCTACGGATGGGATGGATGAGAGTAATAAGAACATATTTTTGGTAGACATGAAAATTCATATATGTTTTCATAGCTTTTCAATAATGATTATGATAGAATTTCAACCACTGGGCAAACATTAGTAATTCCCCTTCCTCGCCTTTTAGAATAAAAGGGGTATTTCCAGATCTAGGGGATTTATATCAGAGTTAAAAGTCCTCCCCCCCTCCTGATAGTAGGATTTGAATTCATAATCATCTGTTTATCAAGGTTTCCGGGCAACATGTATTAGCCAGCTCGGTTACCCAATTTTGGAATATCTGTTCACAAATTGACAATTTTTTTCTAAACATATTTCAATAAACTTCAGAATGTCACAAAGTCATTGTCATTTATAAAATCTAGTTCTCTCATCGCTCAATTCACCAAAAATAATTATTTTAAAAAAACCCGAATAAACATTAACTTATACTGAAATCTTATTAAGAAACATAAGATTTCTTAATTGGTACATAAGATTATTAGTTGGTATTTTTATTATGTCAGACTAAGATACATAAATTTGTAACTCTGTTATTATTCTTAGGGGACAGTAGTCCCAGAATAAAATTATTTTTTCATTTCATTTCAAGAAAGAATCTTTACCATGGTAAACTTCTAATAAAATATAAAAAAACAAAACATAAAATATAAACAGTTAAATATTCTAATGTCAATCACATTTTGATTAATGAAAATATTTTGGTTTGATAATTTGGCTCTTGCCGTAATTTTTTGTTTTGTAAACTTCTAATAAAATATAAAAAAACAAAACATAAAATATAAACAGTTAAATATTCTAATGTCAATCACATTTTGATTAATGAAAATATTTTGGTTTGATAATTTGGCTCTTGCCGTAATTTTTTGTTTTGTAACATAAAATAAGTTTATGGGCAACCTAGATTCTTGAAAAATTGCAATGAATTTGTAACTCTTATAAGAAATATGTAGCTGCCAAAATAATTAAATGTGTATAGCTAATAAGTAGGAGTTAATTTAAAATGGAAAGGGGATTTTTTATATTTAATATGTTTCAACTGATTGTAGTTATGTAACAATTTCATTTGAATTCAATTACATAAAAAGTAGAGTAGAAGAATAAAGTTTAAAAATGATCAAAGTACTATAAATGAGCACAATGTTGTACAGCACTATCCACTATTACCATTCCAGTTAATTATTAGTAAAGTAAGTCAGTCCCAATACTTAAAATAATCACAGGATCTCAGCTATAAAATAAAACTGAGAAGTGGGAGTACTTCAATCCCAATATAATCTTATTTGGCCAATAAGAAAGATGTACAGAATTTTAAAAACAGCTCATCTGTACAATAAGATCACATGTGACAGAAATATTTGTGAATTATTTTTTACATGTGAAATAATCATGAAATTATTTCTTACTTCTTGATAGATGGCATTTTAATGAAAGACATTCTTTGTCTAACCTGAAAGAAATATTTTGTCTAACCTCTACATACATATTCTATAACAGAGGGAGCTTCTTCATCCATAGCTGCTTTAGACATGGGACCAATAATTTTGTGTAGATCTTGGGTGATCTGACGTTCAGCATGAAGAATAACCTGGCTCAGTAATTGGGCCGACTTGATTCTAACACTCACAACCCAATCGCGCAATTCTCTTCCAATAGCTTCCACAAATTTGCAAGCTTGCCTGTCTACAAGGATTCGACATCCAAGACCAGGTCTTTTAACTGAAACATTAACAATCATTTACCGAATTAAACAAATGATTAAAAAAGTTTGCAATTATAAATATGCCCATCTCTGCCTCTCTCTCCATATGCCATAATTGGCGAGAATGGAAATAAATGAGAAAAAAAAGGATAAATATTGCAGTACAAATTTTTATGACCAGATTTCTTTTTGTAAGAAAAAAAATATATATATTTTAGGGCAAAATTGTAAACAAATAAGTATTTTAAATTAAATCTACCATCCAAGAGTGGTATAGATCTGTTAAGAACTCTGTTTTCTATTGAAAATAAAAAATAAATCCTAATGTATCTTTGAACTGAAAGGTATTTACACAAAAGGCATTGAATATATGTAGAGAGAACACACATTGTAACAAGGACACATCTTAGCATAGAATAGCCAACATGGCTGGTGAAGGCGGGAGTTGGCACACAATCGAATTGCAATACCTAGAGACATATACATAACTTAAAGTCACAACAAATCCTTCAATTAATTACACACTCATCCATCAATTTTTATTTGTTGAAATCAGTGGCTCGCTGACTATGTTCTAATCTTGTGGGTGTAAACATTCTGATTAAATATTTTTGATATATAATAGGATAGATAAATTTTAATCCTCTTACTGTTTTTTTTTTTTTGTGTCTATAAATAAGCTGGAATTTACAAAATCGTATTTAAAAGTTTAGCTCCATCAAAAATGTACTTACTGACTTTTTCAATTAAGTGAAGAAATAAAAATAAAACATCTCGCACAAAGAATGAGTGTTTAACTACACTTTAACATAAATGATAATTTTACTTTTCTATTTACAATTACAATGTATAATTATAAGATGAGGAGAGTAATAAAACATACTTCCTGGAGGATAATGAGGAAGCTCTTCGAGTTCCCAATCTATTCTATCCTTATAGTCATTTTCATTTTCAAGAAGATATTGTGCTCCAGCCTTCTCCCAAAGATTCCGAGCTTCATTTCTAATATGCTCTTCATTATCTATTAAGCTACAAGTTTAAGAATAGAATATTTTTATTTGAAAATTAATAAATAAGAATTTTAATGCAAAAAACAATTTACCATGTTAGCATAAGTGGCAATGTCTGGCAAAAATAGGAATATCTATCATAGTGATTTAGCATCCAGTTCCCGATTAATCTGGTTAATGCCAAACGTACATGTGGTGAATCATCAAAGAGTCTGTTTGCAAGAGCACGAATACCATCAGGTAAAATTTTTGGATCACCTTTGAGAATAAGAATTTCTGAAAAATGAAAAAAAATAAAAATAAAAGATTTAAGAAGCTATTTTATTTAAATAGAACAGTATGAAAATAAAAATTTGAAAAAATATATAAATCACAATAGCGGTTGTGCAAGGACCTCCCGATCCTTTGATTGGGACAAGATCATGCTTAATCACCAGGTTTCGTCCCTTAAACGATTATTTAATTATGAGTTCCAACTTTATGTATAGGCTGGTATACCCTCAGGAAGTTTCCTGACCACAGGGTTGATCCACAGCTGATGTAACACCTCATATGCTATTGCTTATTTACATAAGTACCTGCCACAGCCAGTATCGCGCCCGGGATGTTGTGCTTACAAACCCCTTATACATAAAGCTATCCCGCTCCCTATGTATCACTATAACCCATGAAATATCTTGAGATTAGACACTTGAATATGTATACAATCCTGATACTTAATAAACCAAGTTGATCTGAACTCACTGAAGGATCCAATTTATCATAAATGTGTCTTAGGAGGGTTTTAGAAACCTAAAATGCTCTGTAGTTGAGAGAACTTAAAGTAAATTTATTTTAGTCAGACTAGAGACTAAAAGTTAGGGAATCCATTGATTAATGTAATATCTAAGGATTATGAATAATTTTAGTTTTTATTTATTATTTCAAGCTTTGACAATGTCACACTACTAGATGAATCTCCAAAATTCATAAAGATTTTTAAACTAAATAAGTTTAAGAGCAGACCAAGATGAATTATTAACATTTTCGACTTACCAACAGCTTCTATAACCGATACTCGAACCCTCCAGTGTTGGTGATGCACGGCTTCACCTAATGGTGGAATTAGTTTTTTTGAAAATGGATGGAAATCATAAGAACCTATACTTGATAACTGGATAACACAAAAACAACTTTTTTTTTTCACTTGAGGAGCTGAATCTAAAATTGCTTGAACCAATATATCAACAATTTCTGAAAAATAAGGTGAGATCAAATCTGTATGCTTCTTAATTAATAGGGAAATTAATTCGATGTACTTTAACCTCAACTCTTCTGAAGGCTCTAATATAGAATCAGAACACAACCGATGATGAATTGATGGCACTAATGTCAACAAATAATCCACATTAGGTTCTAATTTATCTATTGCATGAATACAAATGTCTAGAGCATTTTCACGGCACACCTCTACTGCATCTTGGAAGGATAATGATATTACATTTAATAACTTTCCAAAAACATGCTTTGTATCTTCAGCTTGGCTAATTTCTATGAAGTTATTTAATTCTTTAAATACTTCTTTTTTTTGAAATTTTGTACCATTCTGTAAAATATTAATGACACGATCAGTATTTAAGTAGTTATTTGATTCCATTTTAACTTGGTAAAGAACTCATATAAACAGGTTGGTTTCCTAGATACCAATTATTAGGAACTTAATGAAAACATATTCAAATCTGAATAAAACCATTTGGTATTCATATAAACTTATACTTCGTTATTTTATGAGAAAAAAATAAGTGTTAGTACACTCTGCTTGCTTCAGAAAGATAAAATGTAGCAAAGGTAAACAAATAAAACCAGTCCATAATTCATTTATTATTTGTATTGAAAGAAAATTAAACAGTCTTGAGGTTACTGCAACGAAAACACAAAGAGGTCCAATGGTGATACTGAGCGTAATAAAATAATCATTATTAGAAGTTGAGTTAAACCGTTATCAAAATGAAATTTGAGATTGACGAAAGCTATTTCAAAGGATCCTAAATATCGAATGGTGATAAGAGGAGAAGTATTTGGAACTGTAGGAGCAGGACAAACCATATGATTTAATTTAATTTGATAAACAATCGATATCATAAGTAAATAATATATGTGTTCAGATGTTTTTATGGTTATAAAATATAATGTATTGTGGTTATAAAATATATTGTGTTGATTAGCAAAATCTGTAACTTTCTTTAAGATATTTATTAAAGTTAACCAATCTTAACTTAACCCATAATACAAATAAAACGACCAGTAATATTGGTGACCACCCAACGTGATTAATAATTAGAATGCTGAATGAAAGCAAGTTGAATATTCCAGAAATGACCGAAAATCAACAATCAAAAGAAGAATATCTTGAAGTAAGCAAAGTTTCCGTTAAAATACCACCATTCTTGCTTGAATGACCAGATGTATAGTTCAGACAAGTTGAAGCCCAGTTTAAATTAAGCGGAGTCACTACTGAAGATACGAAATTTGATTATTTAGTATCTCAATTAGATAGAAAATTCGTAGCAGATATAGTTGATATTCTAGATTCAGAAAATGAAGCAAAATATTCACTGGCCAAAACAAGACTTTTGAGCCTTTACAAAGAGAGTAAAGAAACACAAATACAATGGTTAGTAGCTGGTCTAGAACTCGGTTACTTAAAACCAAGTCAATTATTGCGAAAAATGACTTCCTTGGCAGGTACCGACATATCGTCTACAGTACTTCGGACATTATGATTAAATAAACTTCCTGACTCAATAAAAAATATAATTTTAGTTTCCGATGAAAATTTAGAAAAACTTGCGATGATGGCAGATAAAATAGTGGACATGACTCCACGTTGCGACGTTTTTGCTACGTCTAGTACTAAAGTTTGTCCAGAAAGTTGTTCAAATAGTAGCACAGACGAATTAATAAAACAGCTTGTTACCAAAATAGAAGCTATGGATGCCCGTATTTCCTCTATACAGGATTCTAAAAGTCTATGTAATTGTCTAGATCACCATAGTAACAGGAAGTTTCTCAATAGAAACCGTAGCCTAGGGCGCTTCAATCCGAATGGAAAATATTGTTTTTATCATCACCGCTTTGGAAAAAGGTGTCTACCCGAAAATTGCCAGCAGCGTTGCCAATAGAATCAGGAGGGAAAAGAGAGACTGTAGTAGAAGTAGCATTTTACTGCAGACGACCATATCAGAGGCCGTAAGTTTCGTTTATTTTTAACAGATAAAAATTCAGGTATGAAATTTTTAATAGACAGTGGAGCAGATGTGTCCATTGTTCCTCCTCAGGCACAAAGAAATAACATTTCAGATTTTAAATTGTATGCAGAGAATGGCACGGAGATTCCTACGTTTGGTGTAAATGTTTTAAATATCAACTTGGGACTTTGTCGAGGATTCAGATAGCCTTTTATCGCAGCCGAAGTAAGTAGAGGTATACTAGGTGCCGAATTTTTTACACCATTTCAACATTTTGGTTGATTTAAGAAATAATCAATTAATTGACGGTAACACTAAATTAGGAGTTATTGGTAACGTTTCAGCAGTCCATACAAGCGATTTTATAAGCACTGTTGCCAATTCACATAGATTTTCCGAATTACTAAAATCATACCCAAATCTAACTAAACCAAATTTACTACCTACAGCAGTAAAACATGATGTTCAACATCATATTGTAACAACGGGTCAACCAATTCATTCCCGTCCTAGGCCACTTGATACGAAAAAATTAGCAATCGCGAAAGAAGAATTTCAATTTATGCTAAACCATGGAATTATACGTCCCTCCAAGTCACAGTGGTCGAGTCCACTGCACTTGGCACCCAAGTAGGATGGCTCAATGCGTCCATGTGGTGATTATAGGAGACTGAATTCACAAACTATTCTAGATAGATACCCAATACCAAGAATTATAGATTTTCAACATATTCTTCATAAAAAATATTTTTATTTTCAAAAATTGATTTATTCAAGGCCTATTTTCAAATTCCCGACGCTGAAGCAGACAAGCCCAAAACAGCTGTGACCACACCCTTTGGTACGTTTGAATGTAATGTAATGCCCTTTGGCCTTCGAAATGCCCCAAGTACTTTTCAACGATTTATCAATGAAGTACTCCATGGCCTGAATTTCGTGTTTCCATATCTGGACGAGTGCCTAATAGCTTCAAGTTCGGAAGAGAAGCATCAATATCATCTCAAACTAGTTTTTGGCCGTCTTGAAAAATATGGACTAAACATTAATGTTGCAAAATTGGAATTCGGTGTGCCCAAACTACAGTTCCTAGGCTACCTGATCCACCCGATGGTACTAAACCATTGCCTGATTGAGTACAAGCTATTTTGGATTTCAAACTCCCTGAAACAATTGTTGGACTTCGCAGATCCTCGGTATGATTAATTTTTATAGAAGCTATCTAACTGAAGCCTCTAAAACTCAAGCTATTCTCCATGAATACACAAAAGGAGCTAGAAAAAAATGACAATAGAAAAATTTCTTGAACTTCTGAAGCCATTTCTCAATTTGAGAAATGCAAAACGGATTTAGCGGATGCAACAATGCTTTACTACCCCAGCGCAGACTTACCTTTGGCTCTTGTTGATGCCAGTGACTATGCAGTTGGAGGAGTAGGGCAACAATTAGAAGATGGCAAGTGGAAACCACTTGCTTTCTTTTCTAAGAAATTAAAATGTGCAGAAAAAAGGAAATGTGCAGACACACCCTTGAAGGAAGACAGTTTGTAATATACACTGATCATCGTCCATTGATTTAGGGCTTTCAGCAAAAAAATTAAAAGGCTAACCCGTTACAACTAAGATGCTTACAATACATTTCCGAGTATTCCCCTGACATTAGACACATAAATGGCAAACTGAACGTGGTTGCTGATACACTTTCTAGAATCGAATCTATCAGCTCCATTGATATGGATAAAATAGCAGAAGCCCAAGCTAGTAATCCTGAATTTATGTCAGTGAGGAATGGTGAAACATCACTAGTATTTAAAACTTATCAACTGCCAAGTGGAAACAGTTTGTGTTGTGACATTTCTACTGAATCTGTAAGACCTGTCATACCTCAAACATTTCTTAGATTGTTTTTTGAACAAATTCACAATTTAAATCATCCCGGTGTAAAAGCCACTGTCAAACAAATTGGTGCTCGTTTTGTTTGGTCAGGTTTTAACAAAGATATGCGTGATTGGGCAAAATCGTGTATAGCTTGCCAAAAAATCTAAAGAGATAAGACACACAAAATCAACATTTATAATATTTAAACCGCCAGATGAGAGATTTTCTAATGTACACATCGATCTGATTGACCCTTTACCTCCTTCAAATGGTAACACCTATCTACTGACTGTGATAAATCGTTTTACAAATTGGATGGAAGCTATACCATTTTCAGAAATCACTGCAGAAGTTGTCGCCAGATCATTTTATGACAATTGGATTGCACGCTTTGGCGTCCCATCCTCGCTCACATCGACCAAGGTCGACAATTTGAGGCGAACCTATTCAGAAATCTAAGTTATTTGTGTGGAATCAAATTGCAGAAGACAACTCCTTACCACCCTGAAAACTGCTCTGAGAGCAAATGGTTCACTAAAATGGTCAGAAGCCCTACCTACCATTCTTCTGGGTTTACGAGCCTCATTCAACCCCGTTACTGGGGTCTCCATTGCACAATTGGTATACGGCACCACTTTCAAGTTGCTTGGGGAATTTCTTGGACAGCCAGCTCAACGCATAAACGATGCAGAAACTTTTGTATCGCAACTACAAGACACTATGAGACAACTGAAACCTGTTCCAGTGAAGCTGAAGACCAACAAGTCATTCTTCATTCACAAGAATTTGGCTGAATGCACTCATGTGTTTGTAAGAATTGACCGAATGAAGAAACCCTTGGAAGTACCTCATGAAGGACCCTTCAAAGTGATTGCCAGATCTGACAAATTTTTTACTCTGCAATTGAAGAACAGAGAAACAAACATATCAGTAGACAGCCTAAAGCCGGCTTATCTCTTGGCATCACCAGAAGAACCTGACCTTCGTTCAAAAGAACCTGACCAACGTTCTGCACAAACTTCTCCTGAAGATACTAACGAACACTATTCAGGTTCCAGTACCAGTAAACCACACGTAGTGGTTGTTCAGTGAAGTTTCCATCTCGGTACTTGGATGCAATTATTGTCTAAAGTTAACATTGTATTTCAGTTTTTGAGAAACATTGTCGCGACTGTGCCTCTGGGAGGCGGTGATGTAGGAGCAGGACACACATATGATTTAATTTAATTTGATAAACAATCGATATCATATGTAAATAAAATATGTGTTCAGATGTTTTTATGGTTATAAAATATAATGTATTGTGGTAATAAAATATATTGTGTTGATTAGCAAAATCTGTAACTTTCTTTAAGATATTTATTAAAGTTAATCAATCTTAACTTAACCCATAATACTAATAAAACGACCAGTAATAGAACCTTCAACGTTAGAAATGGTGTGCGAGAGGGGAATGAAATTTCGCTCGTACTGTTTAACTCAGCCCTGGAGAAGATGATTAACATCAAGGGAAAATGGCAGAATACCTGAAGGAATTATAAATTCCTTGGATAAGCAGATAATAAAGCTGACCTTGGAAGAAATCAAGAGGGCATAGAGAGGTTCGCTAAAACTCTGATAAGAGAAGTAAAACAATCCGGCTGACAAGTAAATGAAGATAAACAAAATAAATTATGCTAAACCAAAAATAGGATGTGCTTAGAGGGGATAATCTTTTCCGAGAGTTGACAGATTCAGATATCTAGACTTCATAATATCCTCAATGCATAACCAACAATCAGAAACAGACTAGTACAGAAGGAGATTTCTTCTCTCCTTCGAATTCCGAAAATCTCTATAAATGTTCACTCAAGAGTACTGGCGGATCTATGGATGGAGGGAGAGGCTTCCGGTCTAAGCCTCTGACAATATAACGTGCCTGATTAATATATAAATACATTATCATTT